TTTCTTTTTTTTTGGCTGCGTTGGGTCTTCCTTGCTGCACGTGGGCTTTCTCTAGTTGCTGCAAGCAGGGGCTTCTCTTGTTGCGGAGCACAGCCTCTAAGCTCACAGGCTTCCACAGTTGCAGCACGCAGGCTCAGTAGTTGTGGCATGTGGGCCCCTAGAGTGCATGGGCTTCAGTAGTTGCAGCAGGTGGGCTCAGTAGTCGTGGCTCACGGGCTTAGCCGCTCTGCGGCATGTGGGATCTTCCCAGACCAGGGCTCAAACCCGTGTCCCTTGCATTGGCAGGCAGATCCTTAACCACCGCACCACCAGAGAAGCCCCTATGAGAGTCGTTAAGAGAGTAAATCCTATGAGTTCTCATCACAAGAAAAAAAAATTCTTTTCTATTTATTAAATTTTCTATCTATATGAGCTGATGGATTTTCATTTCATGAAGACTGCAAGTCAAATCATTACACTGTATGCCTTAAACATATATAGTGCTGTATGCCAATTGTATCTCAATAAAACTGGAAGAAAAAAATTATGTCCACAAAAAATTAATTACAAAGGGAAAAAGAGTAACTTTATATTGGAGAAGACTGGCAGAAAAAGTGACCAAATCCAATCGTGTGCAAACTGGTAAGAAGCAATTAGAAGAACACAGCATCACTTTAGTGGCAATTCCTGCCCAAGAAGCATAACCTGAATTTAACCATGAGAAAACATCAGGCAAACCCAAACTGAAGGGACTTCCCTGGTGGCACAGTGGTTGAGAGTCTGCCTGCCAATGCAAGAGATACGGGTTCGAGCCTTGGTCCGGGAAGATCCCACATGCCACGGAGCAACTAAGCCTGTGTGCCACAACTACTGAGCCTACTTTCTAGAGCACGCAAGCCACAACTACTGAGCCCATGCGCCACAACTACTGAAACCCGCGTGCCTAGAGCCCATGCTCCGCAACAAGAGAAGCCACTGCACTGCAACAGAGTAGCCTTCACTCGCCACAACTCGAGAAAGCCCACGCACAGCAACGAAGACCCAATGCAGCCAAAAATAATAATAATAATAATTAATTAATTAAAAAAGAAAAAGAAGAGAGAAATATAAGAGGGCACTACGTGAAGTAATGGTTAAGTATTGTTTCCTGAAACAACGCTTATGTATACAAGTATATGTATACTGACTATGACCTAAAAGTGTATTTTGTACTGTGAGTTGCCTTCAAAAAAAATCTGAGAGCTGCTGAGGTAGAAAATGAGGAAAACATTCTTGAGAGTGACTTAATTATCTGCTACTAAACTGATAAATTCTGTAACTATGCCTATACATTTTCTTTTCCTTTTTCATGTTATCTTCACCCACAAATGCCTCAAACCTTCCCCACAGTTCTGGCCTCCTCCACTCAGCTCTGTGCTGCCAATCTGTGAAGGTGCTAATTGTGTATAGGCATTTTCAAGCATTGGTTGCTCAAGCAGTCTTAGCCGCGACCAGCACTGCTAGGCCTAGACCCCTCTCCCTACAGAAATCATTATGAATCCCTCAGGCAGTGGTTCTTCTCTGAGCAAATACTGTTAACTGCCAACTCAATGGAATCTTCCAGCCTAAAAAAGTATTTTTACGTCCATTCCCTTGCTATTTCCTCTCTCTTCTGCCAGGACTAATTACTACTCTCTTGGAGACTGAATTCATCTCTCATTTTTCATATTCTAAACTACTTTAAATAAAACTGACAATACTTTAAAAAAAATACACTCTTCCTTATAAGGAAAAAGTATGAAAAGAAAGGAGACTTCTAATTAGACAATGGAAAGGAAGAAGATGAAGACTCACAGAAAGAAAAATAACAGAATACAGAAAAAGAGTTTACAACAGAATTTAGAGAATCTTAACTAGTGACGTTTAAAACCAGAAAAGATTTGCAACCCTTAGACAGTTCTTGCTTCCACTCCCCCTAGGTGGAAGGCAACTGGTACAATTTCCTCTCCATCCAAAATGTGCAGTCAAAAATAAGGCTGATGAGGCCTTTTGCCATCTCTGCCCACTATCTGTATAGGTATCTTTGTGGTGAAAAACTGATTGATAAATCAACACATCGTTTACACCTCTTTTTCTTAACATAACAACTTAATCTTAACTAAAGGAAAAAAATTTAAGTACAGTATTTTACAATTTACAAGACTATTTTTAACTTTTTTTTTTGGAATGAAGCTGCATGACTTAATGAACAAAGCACTGATATCAACGCCAGGCAGACCTGGTCTAAAATCCCAGCCATGCCACTGACTAGCTTGTGACTTTGGCCAAATCACTTCTCTCTGAGCCTCTGCTTCCTCATCTTTATATGTCTTTTGGGGGTAATTCTGAAAGTTAAATGAAAAGTAGAGCCTTACTGTGCCTAGCACAAACAACAAATGTAACTTCCATGTCTGCCCAGACCACATTCCTATCTGCCAGTAACAGTAGCAGCCTGGCTGTGGTTACTGCAATACTTCTCAACTGGGGATGGACTGGAGTGGAAGAGGGGATACGAAGAGGGACTGGCAGGCCTTCTAAGGAGGAGACTGGGGAATCTTTTAGGAGGAGGGGACAACGTACACAGTGCATGTGAATGTGTGTTTTTAAACTCCTGGTGATTCTTAAATATTTGTCCAAATGGCTTATATCTCTATAAATTACTAAATTACAGAGTTGTTTGAGGAAACTCTTAAGTGTGGGCAATAACGAATCGTCTCCTGCAACACATATTTACTGAAGAGTCAGGTAATACTGTGTGTAACTACAACTTTTACTGTACGATGGCATATTTGGGTTTTCAAATATCTTAAACTGAACACATAAGTTTTTTTTTAAATGAGATATTTATAATCACTTTTAAATAAACATAAATGGATTTTATATTATAGTTGCAACTTCATATTAGTTAATTAAGTATCCAAAGGCTTTCACAAAAAAATTACCAAAATGTTCATCGTCATAATCAAAATTAAACTCATGATGTAGCTAACAAAAGATATGACTCTTACCTTTTGAAACAATCTAAAATTGCTTGAACACATATCCACAAGATTGGCAAATAATTTAAAGTCTGAAAATATTAAGTGTTGATAAGGACAGAGAGCAAGAGGCACTACCAATGGGAATACAAATTGGTATATTCACTCTAAAAAACAATTTGGCACTACCTACTACCCTATATCCTATGCTACCACCCTATAATCCAGCAATTCCACTGTTAAGTTTATATGAGACATTTGCGCCAAGAATATGCAGGAGGAAGTTCATGGTAGTAGTAACTTTTAGAAATAGCAAGAATCTTGTAACAACGCCAGTGTCTGTAAACAGAAGAAAAGAGAAATCAACTATAGAATATCTATAAAATGGCATACTATAGAGCCATGAAAATAAATGAACTAAGCTACATTTTCAATGAAGCCCCAAAACATTACAGAGCAAAGAAAGGAAGTCATAGTAAAACTAGTCCACTTATGTAAATTTCAAAATCAAGTAAAACTAAGCAACATATTGTTTAGGGACACTCACCATAAGATTGTTTTTAAAAAGCTAGAGAATTGTTAATACAAAATTCAGAATATAGATTACTTCTGTGGCGGAGGGAGTGGATGTAACCCAGGAGAATATATGGAGGCTTCAAAGGAACTGATAATTATTTTGTGAGACCCTTCTCTGCATTAATGGTATACTTCACGATAAAAGTTCCTTCCTCCCTCCCTCCCTCCCTTCCTTTCTTTTTAAGAGAACAGAAAAACTAAGTCACAGATGGGAACCTTCATTAAAAAAGCAAATCATTTAAGAGCCAAGTTTATGCACTACAGAATACACACACTTTTCTCACATTTCGTATGAGATACTGACTTCTCCACAAATAATTCTAGAATTTGGGAAGAAATTAAATGAAAAACTTAAAATTCACCCATAAAAGTCTTCATGCTATCCTATATATCTCGACATTTCCCCCAAGTAGGCAAAACGTTCAACTCCAATGTTGAAGTTCCTAGCTAGTTAAGTCTTTCTAGCTTCAGTCAGCAAACAACTTTAACTTTTCTTTATCCATTGACCATAAGGATGGGCAGTTTTGCATTAGCAGTAACACCTGTTTCAGAAAAAAAGCAGCAAAATGGACGAGCAATGCACACTCTGATTAGGGTAGTCTGATGAGAAGTACTCCACTGAGTTTCTGAATCGCTTCAGTTCAACCTGGTCTACCCATCCTGCATTATGCATGAAAACACTTCGGAATGAAAGCAATTACAAATTTAAAATGATGCATTTTCTCCTTTCCTCCAGCAAATGAAAATCACTAATTACCAAAGGAGCTTCACAAAGCAGTACATGGGATATCCATGACACGTCTCCACTGGGAGATACAGCCCCGACCCCAAATGAAGAAATTACAGTCAAACAAGGAGTTTTTTTTTTTTAATCTTTTTCATTTGTACTTTTTCATGACTCTAACACTTTGCTCCATCTCCTGATGGTGACACCAAGCCAACCACCCTTACTGCCCCAGACTTGTTCTGCAAGTGCCCCATTCTCTTCCTTCTCAAACACCGCTGCCACTGCCCACGGTGCCTCCGTTAAGCCTTCTCCTCCGCACAACCCCTTACAAGATGCCAGAAACATCTGCGTTCCTCTTCAGGTCCAAACTCCCAGACTCCCCGACCCTGAAAACCGCACCTACGCCAGCCTGGCGCTTCCCGGGCCCCATCTCCCCCCCCGCCGAGCCGCACCCACAGAAAGCCCTCCGCTCCCTTCCCCGCGCCCCCTCCACCCTTCCCGTGGTCCTGCAGCGCCCGGCGCTCGCCCCCTACTCAGAACCCCCATTTCCCACTGAGCCTCCCCACACTCTGCACCTGTGGCCCAGCCTTCCCACCCCGCTTCCCAGTCACCGCGGGGCCTCTCGGCCGAGCCCACCGGCCCCGGCCAGGCTAGACCAGCCCAGCCTTGCCCGCTAGGCCCCGACCCAGGCCGGGCGACCTCTGCTGCCTCTTTCTCCTCACCGTGCCGTCCCCGGGGCCCTCGTCCCGGGCCCCCTCCGCTTCCTCACCGACCGCAGACTCCAGCCCAGCGTCAGGGTGGCCCAGCGGCTCTAGGGGCGCAGGCTGCAAACGCCGCTCGGGGTCGGGAAGCGCCTGCTCCATAGCTGCGGTTCGGTACGGCGGACACAGTGCGCCTGCGCCGCCTCGTCCAGCCAAGCCTGCGCCTTCACCCGCGGCCGCTGCCAGGCCCCGCCCCCTGGGCATGCGTCCTCCCCATCTGGCCTGGCCTCGCTCGCGGCTGCTGCTGAGGCAGAGAGGGCTCCTGGGCGAGGGCTGAAATTGGGGATGGGGCTAGGAAAGAAGGGCGTACCTACAAGGGAAGTGGTCAGCTGCTAAGCCAGGAGACCCAGGAATCCGGGAGAACTGGTTGAGAGAGAGAAAGAGAAAGGCAAGAGGAAGGTTAAGATCAGAGTAGGTACTAGAACCATTCAGATCGGTGATCACATAAAGAAAAATTGAAACTCAAAAGAAATCGGAGGTTGGGACTTCCCTGGTGGCGCAGTGGTTAAGAATCCGCCTGCCAGCGCAGGGGACACGGGTTTGAGACCTGGTCCGAGCAACTAAGTCCGTGAGCCACAACTACTGAGGCTGCGTTCTAGAGCCTGTGAGCCACAACTACTTAGACCTTGTGCCACTACTACTGAAGCCCGCCCGCCTAGAGCCGGGGCTGGGCAACAAGAAAAGCCACTGCAATGAGAAGCCCAGACACCGCAAGGAAGAGTAGCCCCTGATCGTGGCAACTAGAGAAAGCCCAGGCAGCAGCAAAGACCCAACGCAGCCAAAAATAAATAAATAAATAAAAAGAAATTGGAGGTCGCAATCTGACGTCTCCCTCTTGGCCTCTATCTTGCCTGCCATTATTGGTTCCATTCCTCGCCCCACCTACCCCAACACACACCCGGAAAGATCCGAGCTGCATAAATTACTGTCAGCAGGTTGAGTAACACAATTAGCAAAAGGTAACACTTTTAAGTGTTTGAGAAAAGTTAAGCGCTTGGCTGAAGCCGTACTTGAGTTCTATCTTAAGTGTTTCTTGAAGCCCTGGAGATATCTGATAACTTTCTACAAACACCTCAGTTGAATTTTCGAACCTGCTTCCTAGACAAGCATTCACTATGGTACCCTGATGGGAAGCGCTCACTGGGTGTACCAGACTGTGGTACCTTGAAGTACCTTGTACACAAAGTCTGGTCGTCAATTTTTCAAGGAGAGAAACTGATCTTTCTGCTGTTCAAAGCTGTGACACACAATTTTCTCCTCCTCCTGATACTTCCTCTGGCTTGGTAGCGATTTTTCCCATTCATCCCTAAAACCTCAAGTTATCATGTCCAAGTGCTATTATCACTTTGTTCAAAAATTGGTTATGACCTTTCTCATATTTACTTATATGTCGGTCTGCCCCAACTAGGCTTCAGACTCCTTTAAGGCAAGGACCCTATTTTATTATTTTTTTCTTACCAAACCTAGGACATTTACTCAATAAATGTTTAAAGGCATTTAATCCGTTTTTCAGGGAATATCCATGCTAGGCAAATTCTCAGGATTTTTTTTTTTTTTCTTAGTTCCCCCACCAGGGACTGAACCCGGGTCCTCGGCAGTAAGAGTACGGAGTCCTAACCACTGGACCACCAGGGAATTCCCAGGAACCATTTTTAAATCAGAAGACTATTTTATTAATTTATTATAGGAGAAATAGATATCTTCTTTCCAGGGACAGATATGTATCTGTTATCCTGTGCCCTTTTCCCAATTTTGAGATACCCAGGAAACTAAGTCCTAGAGCCATTGGGATAAGTGCTCTGTGCTGGTGACTTGAGCATCTCACCCTGCAGTGAGTAGTGTTAGAAAACAATATTCAACTGAGTAAACTTTGAAGATCTTGTTGGCTTTATTCAACAATTCATGGAGCAGGCAGCATCCCATGGAGCAGATAGAAAGGCATTCCAATGAGCTGTACAAAATGAAAAACTTTTTATAGGAGGGAATGGGGGCAAGGAAGTTATACTAGCAAAAAGTGGATTGGCTGTGGCAAGGACACTTTCCTTTAGGGGACGGCAGGGCTCTAACGAACAGATTACCTCACTAGTGCTGACCAAGTAGTTCCTGGTTGACTGGTTTAAGATTCCATTTCGCGGAGAGCTGAAACTATAATTAAGTTAAATATTAAGTCCCGGTTTGGTGATGTGTGGTTAGCATAAGTGGCTCCATTTGGGGCCTGTTGTCTTGTTTTAAACAACTGGAACAAGGAAAAGGACTCGGGGCTTTACAAAGCAATCACCTGAGGGGAGGCCACAGTGCTATCTGTGGTTTCTAAAAAAAAACCAAACAAAATACTAAAACAGAGTAGGGACATCTGTTTCCCCTTCATTCACATCTCTTTTTTGTGTGAAAAAAAAATTCAAGACTGCCTTTGAGGGGCTTCCCTGGTGGCGCAGTGGTTAAGAATCCGCCTGCCAATGCAGGGGACACGGGTTCGAGCCCTGGCCCGGGAAGATCCCACATGCCACGGAGCAACTAAGCCCGTGTGCCACAACTGCTGAGCCTGCGCCCTAGAGCCCGCGAGCCACAACTACTGAAGGCTGCGTGCCTAGAGCCCGTGCTCCGCAACAAGAGAAGCCACCGCAATGAGAAGCCCATGCACCACAACGAATAGCCCCTGCTCGCCACAACTAGAGAAAGCCCGCGTGCAGCAACAAAGACCCAACACAGCCAATAAATAAATAAATAAATAAGTTAAAAAGAAAAATACAGGTCGAGAGTCCGCCGGCCGATGCAGGGGATGCGGGTTCGTGCCCCGGTCCGGGAAGATCCCACATGCTGCGGAGCGGCTGGGCCCGTGAGCCATGGCCGCTGAACCTGCGCGTCCAGAGCCTGTGCTCTGCAACGGGAGAGGCCACAACGGTGAGAGGCCCGCATACCGCAAAAGAAAAAAAAAAAAAAAACAATATCTAACAAGATATTTTTTAAAAAGGACTGCCTTTGATATCCATTTTAAGTCGTTCACCTAGATATAACTTTGTTCATTATCTCCTTAAGAGATGGCCTTGAAGAAACCAAATTTGAAAAATCAAAAGGGTGTTGAAGTGTCTAAAACAAGGATAAAAAGGATTGCATGTTCATTTTCCCTTATCTCATATACGTATAATACATGTTCACTGTGGGAAAATTAGGAGATAGTTATGCATAAAAATAAAAGCTATCCATGCTCCCACACCCAGAGATAAACACTTCACATTTAACATATATCCATTCAAATATCATGCACATATATAATAAAAATGGAACCACACTACAATGCTAATTTATAATTTATTTTATTCACTTAGTACAGTAAGAACACCTTTCCATGCAATTAAATATATTTCTACAGAATCTTCTTAAAGGCTACACTTTTGTAAAAAATTGTAAAAAATTTTGTATTGTAAAAAATTACTATAACTTATTTAATCTTATAATCCTCAATAGTTGTAATTTGATTCTAAGCTTGACTTTTACAAACAACACTGCAGTGACCATCCTTTTATATAACATCTTTGAGTACCCAACCAGTTATTTCCTTAGGCTAAATAGGCATTGGAAGATTTAGAGAAAATTTCATTTAAGCTCTGATAGTACCTGAGGAATTATCTCTGCTCTATTACAAAATAATATATTTCTTAAAAATTGATATTTGTGGGACTTCCCTGGTGGTCCAGTGGTTGGGACTCCTCGCTCCCAATGCAGGGGGACCAGGTTCGATCCCTGGTCAGGGAACTAGATCCTGCATGCTGCAACTAAAAAAAAAAGATCCCAAACGTGGCAGCGAGGATCCCACATGCCGCAGCTAAGACCTGGCATAGCCAAATATTTTTTTTAATTATTAAAAAAATTGATATTTGTATCCACTAGGTAATACATCTTACCCTTGGGGCTGCCTATAAGCTAACTTTTTTTTTTTTCTGGCCGGCTGCTCCACCCAGCTTGCAGGATCTTAGTCCCCTGACCAGGGACTGAACCCGGGCCCCTGGCAGTGAGAGCACCAAGTCCTAATCACTGGACCACCAGGGAATTCCCAAGAAATTCTTTTTAATAAAGAGACAAAACTAGTGTTTATGTTAAGAGCCTGGGGTGGGAGAAGAAATGGTATCTCGAGCTTTTTAATGGGTCCATCTTTTGGACACCCTACCTTGAAGTTTTTACATGCTTGGCACTTTACATACATTTTCATGAAATGCCCCTGCAAGGCAGGCATTATTTTCCCCATTTCACAGAGCAAGAAGCAGGCTTGGGTAATATTTGACAAGGTCACATAGCCAGCAAATAAGGGGAAGACCTGAGATTCAAACCAGATTTATAGGATACCCAGTATCCAAGCTCTTGGGCCGTGCTGCTCTGGATGGGGGAGAGGAAGAAGACAGATCCTTCTGGAAAAGGAGGCAATTGGCAGAAATTGAGCGTTCATTCCTCACCTGAAAACCCAGAGAGAAGCACATTTCCTTGGATTATGAAGGCAAAGTAACTTCACTGGCTAAAGTCTGGGAAAGCCCAAAGCCAACTCCATGGAGATTTCCAATACAGATGCTCTCTGTTCTTCTGATTCAGACAGAAGGATATCTACTCCAGCACCCCCTTGGGGGAGGGCCTCAATGGGAAAAGTCTCAGGAGCAGGGGTGACCGGCCAGGGCGGCTCTAAGGCTGAGTTGCCTTCTGGGTGGACACATTCCCCACCTCATCCAGCCAGAGGAACTTCAGTCTCTTATATCTGAATAGTGTGATTTAGGCTTCCATTTTGTCATGAGTTTAACAAATATTTACTGGGCTCCTGTGTTAGCTTAGAAACTCCATGAAACACCCATTCTCTGCTCCCCATCATCCAGGTTCTGTCTCCCCTCCCCAGGATTCTCCTCCCGTGTCTGGCCGGCCCCCCAGGGTCTGGGAAGGTCACGTTCTTGCTCTGAAACTACACCCTTCGCCTTGACCAGCAACCAGCCCCAACCCCACCCCGTCTCTCATTTTAGTGTCGGTGTGGGTGACACCTGCTTCATGTATTTTGAAGATGTATATTAGGTACATACACACTCATGACTGTTATGACTTTCTAATGGAATTGATATGTTATCATTGTGAAGCGTCTCCGTCTGTCTGCCGATACTCTTTTT